TGTGTGTGTGTGTGTGTGTGTGTGTGTGTGTGTGTGTACAGAACGAGTTTGATTAAAATCAAATGCTCTCGAGAATTACCTATCCACGTTTTCTAGCCGCTCGTCGAAATATCTTCTCTGTTATGGTGGATACAAAAAATATATTTCGTAAAAAAAAAAAAAAACATACTATAAAAAAAGAAGAAAAGAAAAGAATATATTGCGATGGAAATTTGTGAATTTGAAAAACATACAAATAAAGTTTGAAACGAAATAAAATGAGAAGAAAAAAGTAATACATATATATATATATATATATCATTGATTTTTTAAATTAATCAACAAAGTAACTACGAACAAAAATATTTTTTAACTTGTAACATTTTTTTATAAGGTAAAATTACTTTTGTATATTATATATATATAATATATATACAATATAATATATAATATATTATATGATATATAATATATATACAATATAATATATAATATATTATATGATATATAATATATATTCTATATAATATATATACAATATATATATAATTGATTTTTTAAATTAAACAACAAAGTAATTACGAACAAAAATATTTTTTAACTTGTAACAATTTTTTATAAGGTAAAATTATTTTTGTATATTATATATATATAATATATATACAATATAATATATAATATATTATATGATATATAATATATATTCTATATAATATATAATATATACAATATATTATATAATATATAATATATATACAATATAAAATATATAATATATACAATATATATATATATATATATATAATTGATTTTTTAAATTAAACAACAAAGTAACTACGAACAAAATTATTTTTATATATTTTAATATAAGGGTAAAGTTTTTTTTATTATTATTTTTTTTAAGCTTCTAAAAGATAAAGAGTTTTTTTTTGTTACGTTGGTTGGTTGGTTCGATTTTTGAAAAACAAATTATTTTCCTATTTGATTAAATTATAATTTTGTTTATTCAATCGAACCGGTTGGGAAGATTTCTTTTTTTCTTGGATAAATTATTTTACAGAGATTATTTTATTATTATTATTATGTGTGAATTATATTAATATACGTAATGGAATTATAAAAATTATACGTGCGTGAAGTATAAATTATAAATAAAATATTTTTTGTTAGGGATTTAAAGTGAAACATAATCCTGTATTATTTTTTTGTCGCGTTAGTAATAATTTTTATAAACGTATTAAAATCGTTCAAGAACTTATTAAAATAATTTGAGTGTATAAAAAAAAAAAAATAATATTTGATAAATTTGACGAATAAAATAATTTAAAGTATCGATATTAATGATGATATTATTTAATGAATTTTTACAAGTGATTTGTTCAATCTTTTCTTTATATGTATAAGTGAGAACTGTATTTAAGGTAAATTAAAGGTAAAAAATGTAATTCATCGTTTGAAACATTTTATGTTAAACATTTATTAATTTAAGAAATAATTGAAATAATTTAAAGGATCGATATTAATGATGATATTATTTAATGAATTTTTACAAATGATTTGTTCAATCTTTTCTTTATATGTATAAGTGAGAACTGTATTTGAAGTAAATTAAGGGTAAGAAGTGTTTATTGAAAAATATCATTCATCGTTTGAAACATTTTATGTTAAACATTTATTAATTTAAGAAATAATTGAAATAATTTAAAGGATCGTTATTAATGATGATATTATTTAATGAATGTTTACAAACGATTTGTTCAATCTTTTCTTTGTATGTATAAGTGAGAACTGTATTTAAGGTAAATTAAGGGTAAGAAGTGTTCATTGAAAAATATCATTCATCGTTTTTGAAACATTTTATGTTAAACATTTATTAATTTAAGAGAAATGATTGAAATAATTTAAAGTATCGATCTAATTGATGACATTATTTAATTAATATTTACACTTTTCTATATATGTATACTTCAGAATTATATTTAAGGTAAATGAAGGGTAAAAAGTGTTTGTTTAAAAATGTAATTCATCGTTATAAACATTTTATATTCGCTTTCGGGCTGTTTCGTTTTTGGTCGAGGTGTATCCGCCACGTTATACTTCCTACTTTACAATCTAAACTCATCAATATGCTAGACTTGTACTTCCATTAAATATATTCACGAAGGGAATAGGAGGAGGAGGAGGAGGAGGAGGAGGAAGAGGAGGAGAAAAAGGGTCTGTTCAAGTAGCACACAGATAGAAAAAGAAAAACGAAAGAAGAAAAAGAAGAAGAAGAAGAAGAAGAAGAGTTTGGTTTGGTTTTATTCGAAATGGAATGAGGGATAAAAGAGGGTGAAGGGTAAAGAGGGGTAAAAGACAATTTAACGAAAGAAAGTCCTTGATTTTCTATACTAGTTCTCTCGATTAAAACGTATCTTAAAAGAAAACGAACGATTGGGGTAGATACACGGGATTAACACTTTCAACTTACTACATTTAACTATTTTCAAAATGTTTTTTTTTTTTTTTTTGGAGTACTTTTATATCGAAATCAAATAATATGGGTTTTATCAAGATCAAATTTGTTTTTCTATTTTTAATTTAACAAGAACTCGTAAGACCAATTAAAAATATATTTATCTATTAATTTCATATTAGTTTTGAATATATATCTTAAATAATTATATAAATATAATGTATAATGAGTAAAAAAAATATTATATTAAATATGAATTGAATATGAGTGAATGAAAGAAAAAATAATAATATGAATAATGACAAATTTTTATTTTGTTGGGTAACAAAAATTGGATTCAAATTTTATTATTTGTTGGGTAACATTTAATAAGGATTAGTTTAAGATACAAAAAAAAAATAACGTACTACAATATATTTAACAATATTATTTGAATAATTAACCTAATAAATAACTAAAGAAAATTTGTATAATAAATTTTATTGTTAAATTATTTATTATTTATTAAAAATTATTATTATTTCAAATTTATATTTTCCAGCGAGTGGAATTGAAATTAAAAATAACGTAGTACAATATATTTAACAAAATATCATTTGAATAATTTAAATAATAATTAACTCAAGAAAATTCATATTTTAAACTTTATTATTAAATTAGTAATCATTTATTATAAATTATTATTATTTCAAATTTATATTTTCCAATGAGTGGAATTGAAAGTAAAAAATAACGTAATACAATATATTTAACAAAATATCATTTGAATAATTTAAATAATAAATAACTAAAGAAAATTCATATTTTAAACTTTATTATTAAATTATTAATTATTTATTATAAATTATTATTATTTCAAATTTATATTTTTCTACGAGTGCAATTGAAATTACCCTTAAATCTTCAACCCTCATTTAATATATATAAAATATTTATATAAAACATATTAAATATAATACATTTTGTATCTACTACAACAATTTTATTTCACGTTATAGTTGAGACAAATTAAAAAAAGCAAAAAAGAAAACAAAACCCCTCAGAAGCGTAGGGAGAAACGAACGATAGGGCAAATAGTATTATTTCATCAAAAACTTTTTTTCTACAAAGAGTAAAAAGAAATGGGTTAAAAAAAAAAAAGAAAAGAAGAAAATTCTTTGAATGAAATAAAATAAAAAAACAAAAACAAAAACAAAAACAAAAAAAAAGACACAAAGAAGAAAATAGAAAAAGGGCGGGAGGGTGAAGTAGGGCAGGTGGGAAGGAAGGGTTGTAGGGGAGGGGAGGGGGTTTGGAAAAGAGCGTAACGAGTTGGAAAGTTTAATTTGTGATCGCGCCAGAGTTTGGTCGCCGTAAATGGAGAGTTCGAAGGATCAGGGATGAGGTCAAAGTGGTGTGGTATGGTGGTCTCTGGAAATAGAGAGATAGAAATAGAGATAGAGATAGAGATAGAGATAGAATAGGGTGAGGGGGTGGAATGGGGTGGAACGGGGTGGAACGGGGACGTCGTACACAGAGGTGGCTGCCGGTGATGCTGCTGGCGGCTGCTGCTGTGGTTTTCTTTTTCATAGCCGGGCGGTAGTGCAGTTAAATGCAATGCTGTGAGAGGTGCAGGCACGCGCGTGTGATGGTAGTGGTGGTGATGGTGGTGGTGGTGGTGGTGGTGGTGGTTGTAGTGGGGTGATATGGTGGTAGTAGTAGTGGTAGTAGTGGTGGTGGTGGTGGTGGTGGTGGTGGTGGNGTGGTGGTGGTGGTTTGGTTAAGTAATAATAGTGATAGTGCTTGCTAGTGACGACAATAGTAGTAGTAGTAGTAGTAGTAGTAGTAGTAATAGTAATAGTAAGTGCTGGTTATACTGTGCTAGTGATAATAGTTATATAGTAAATAGGTGCAGTTTACTGTACTAGTGATAAATTAGTTAATAGTAAGTAGTGCTGATTACTGTGCTCTAGTGAGAGAATAAGAGTAATAAGAGTAGTAGTGTTAGTAATTGATGAATGAGAAGGTGTTTGAAAGAATAGTATATATGTTATATATAATTTTAAATATTAATATATTATATATTTTATATAATTAACTTATATATATATAATATATAATTTTACTAGATTAACATTGGGGGTAAGTTTTTGCTTTCAAACACCTTTTTTTAAATGATATTATTAGGCTAACCATAATAATTCAAATCTATTTTAATAATTTTATTTATTTATTATTAAATACTGTAATATTATCAGGGTTACATTTATTATTATATATAATATTTAAAAATATTCACAAAAAATAATTTGATTAGCCTAACGAGATGGTAGTTGTATAAATGATTAGTTTATTGCAAATTTGATATTTTATGCAATGATAGTATTATAGTTATGATTGGTATTTAATGATGATGATAATGATGATAATGATAATGATGATGATGATGATGATGAGATAGTAATAGTGGGTGATTGGTTAAAGTGATAGTAAGATAGTAGGAGATAGTAGTAGTAGAGAGATATAAGGTATTTAGGTCCATTATAGGCGGACACAGGTTAAAGGTTAAATAGTTACCCGGGCCTTGGCGCCGCCAGAGTGATCTCCGCTCGTGGAGGAGGAAGGACTCACCCGGTATCCACCTAGGTTGTTAACCACGCAAGTGAAGGTAGCGTCTCGACCCTGCGGAATCGTTACGTTTTGCAGCGGGAAACTGAAGTCTGGCTCTAGCCCTGTCACTGAAAAATATCATTTAAAAAAATATGTTATCATGTATTCATTTGTTTCATTATCTTCATACGATTTGTTTTAATTTAAACTGTTCCTTTTATCACGTGTACCACCTGGAGTTTACTTACGACATATTTGTTTAATACACTGAAAATCAAGTGGGTAGGTAACTAGGGCTTGGCACGTAACGTGTTATGGTGGTACACGAGATATGGATGATTCATATTTTTGAAGTGAAAACTTCTTTAGAATAGGTGTGATTTGAAAAAATGAAACGCAGTGATGTAGTGGTAAAACGAAACAAAATAACTGCAACCATATGCAATATTAATATTTATAAAATATATTTTATTAGGAATATAATAATTAGGAATTTTTTATATATTCAAATGAATGTAATTTTAGTAATATTTTATCTTATATATTTATTATCTTCTTCAAAGATAAGAACAATAAAATAACAAGAAGAAGAAGATATTTATTATAATTATTATAAATATATAACATATAATTATTATTAAATTAGAATTTGTAAATTTTATTTTATTACCAAAAAAACAAGATAACCGCAACCTTTTTGCAATACTAACAATTAAATAGTATAAGATATATATTTATTATTCAATTAGAATTTTTCTTAATATGATTTTGTTAGAAAAGACAAATATAATCTAACTGAAATCCTATGCAATATTAACAATTATATAGTATAAGATATAAATTTATTATTCAATTAAATTGTATGATTATTACCTAACTATAAGAGATAAAATAACTGGGAGCCTTATTGCAATATTAAACTTTTATAAATATATCTAATTAAGAGTATAATAATTAAGAATTTTATATTCAAACGAATGTAATATTATATGTGTTTATTGTATGGTACGACAGTATACCTGGTCGTATGAGATGTACTAAAATTTGTACAGTTATTAAAAAATCATGCATACTACGCATATTCATATTTCCAGATGTAAAGTAATATTCATAATAAAGAGAAAGAGAAAGAGAAAGAGAGAGAGAAAGAGAGAGAGAGAGAGAGAGAGAGAGAGATGTAGAAGGAGTATGATTAATATTTGAACAAAACAAAATTCTCTTTTTCCTACGTGAAGAATTTTAGAATCCTGTTCTGTACAACGTTGGATCAGATCGCAACACACACTCACTCATACACACATACACATATACACACGACGAATATAATTTCATAGAAATAAAGAAAGACAAAGATAAAGAGATGAAATGAATCTAGAAATTTAAATTCTCGAAAGCTTTAGAGTCCTAGGCTATTATACGAATACACAAAAATACACACGTACGTAGAAACGCAACCATGCATATACACAAATATTTTTGTCTGTGTGTAGAAACTCGTAGAAAAAAATTACATTGCGTTTCCGCGTTCCTGGCTAACGTCGTGGGGTACAAAGCTAGCCCGCTTAAATTTGAATATACACAAGGCCAGACGTTGGATATAAATTGTCCCTAGCTCTGTGTATGGGGGTTTTTTTTTTATTTTTTTTTTTCTTCGTGCCAAGCCGTGGCGAAAAGACGCTAACTTCTTGAATATCATTCCCCTCTGTGTGCTGCTGCTACTGTTGCTGCCTTACTTTACCCCTTACTTTACTTTTACCTTACTTTTCTTTTATACTTAAAAAGAAAACAACAGAAATGAGAATGATTTTTATTCCTTTACTTTAACTACTTACCCCTATTCTTCATTCTACTTTTTTTATTTTTGAAATAAATTCGATTTTTCTATTCGTATTATTTCTATTCTATTCGGTATTTCTTATTTAAATGTATAGACTACTTTGAATAAATTTATTAGATCAAATCAATTTAATATAAAATACAAATTAGGATATTTTATTGTATTAAGAAAAAGAAAAATATTATTTTAGAATATAGCAGATGTTTCACAATTAAATTTAATACTACTTAGTATTACTTATATTTAATGTATACCTATTTCTAACTTTTAATACTAGTTTTATTATTTTTATATTCATGTATACTTATTTGTAATTTAAAATACTAGTTTTATTAATTTTATATTTGTGTATATCTATTTCTAACTTAAAATAGTATTTTAATTATTTTTTTGTTTGTGACTACCTATTTGTAATTTAAAATATTATTTTAATTATTTGTTTATTTGTGTATACCTATTTGTAATTAAAATACTAGTTTTAGTATTTTTATATTCGTGTATACTTATTTCTAGCTTATAATACTAGTTTTATTATTTTTATATTTAATGTATACCTATTTCTAACTTATAATACTAGTTTTATTATTTTTATATTTATGTATACCTATTTTTAATTTAAAATACTATTTTAATTTTTTTTTATTTGTGTATACCTATTTGTAAT